CTATGCCAATCAAGAAACTTATATGGTGAACTATCGGATATCAAAATTTAGAATTCAAATACAAATTTTAGGTATAAATACCACCATGGTCAAGCCCTACAGACATTCAATTTCTCCACTGCACCAATTGGCCTCCATTTTCTTTTCTCTCCTTCCCCAATACCTATAACATGTAATACTGAATATGAAAAGCCTTTCGATCTTTTTCATCCTTTTTGTAGTTATTTTTATGAGTTGTGGTAGGTTGTCTTCCTACAACTATACATTTTTTTTTTCACACTCCAACTTATTTACACGGCACAAACCCTTTTACACATATGAAAAAGAAAAGCAATGATTAAAATTAAAATTTAATTCTACATGTTTTTATATAGAAACCAACTTTTAACGTATGTGTAAGTTGTCAGATCTATATATTTAAAAAATATAACTTTATGAGAAAATTTGTCCTGTCTAGTCTAGTCTAATTCTATTTGTCCTGTCCTTTCTAGTGTACTAAATACAATTCAATCTCATCTATTGTTTAGTTTGTATGGTCCTCTCTAATGTACCAAATGCAGGTAAGAACATGTAATTTTGTAGTCCAACTCAATCTCATTTATAGTTTTAAATAACTCTCGTTATATAACACGTTATATAACTATCGTTAACGGTTTCGAAGTATCCCATTATCATTATTTTAATATTATAGTAAGTAATGATTCACGATAATAACCGTAATCATTTTTTCACCTATTCATTATTTAAAACTATATTCTCATTTATTGTGAAGTCTTGTCTAGTATATGAAATATAAGATAAGAACGTGTGTTTGTCAAGTCCAGTCTAATCTTAGCAATTGTCCAGTGCAATCTAATCTTATTTACTGTCTAGTCATGTTTAATTCAATTGAGTCTGATCTAATTTTATTTGTTTCATCATGCACAGGGCATCACAACTTTAGCTTTACTTTTAATGTGGATTAGTGGGAATCTCTAATTCTCAGCAAGCAACCCAACACCAGAGTTGCAGTTCCAAGCTCACTTGTGTAGTAAATACTAAATTTTGTTTCTTATTTTTATTGAATGTGGGTAATTAATGAGCAAATGTTGGTGAGTACTGCTGGCGGCCAGTGTGAAAAACCATTGCGTGCATAGAGGTGGTTGTAAACCAGACGAATGCAATAAGGGTTGCCTAGCCAAGTATGGACCAGCTGGAGCTATGGGACTTTGCTTCTTCTTCCAAAAACCAGATGAGACTTGTTTATGTCGATATCCTTGCTAAATGTCATCTTTGAATTGGTCATGATAATTAATCATAAGTTATGGCTTATCTTCCAATTAATAATTTTGTATGGTGAAATTACTCAAAGAATAAACTCCATGAGAGAGTAATGAAATAATCGATTAAGATTTGACTCTCTTTTTTTTGGGTATCTATCTCTTTCTATATGCATGTGTTTGTGACTTAGTATTGTGATTCTAATGCGATTTTCTTACGAAGAAATATTTGTTAACAATGATGGATATGTTGTCCAAAAATATTAATAGAATTCAATTTTATTTATTTTTTTTATCTTTCAAGATATTCGAGGCTCAAGGACCTCGTATTAATAATTTGTTATTCTGTCATATGCATAAAGAAAAACAGTTATCCAAAGAATTTTTTTATTTATACGAAAAATCAAATGTGAAACTATTTATTTAAGCAACTAAAGTCTCTTCCACTCAATCCAACCTTTTTAGGTAGAATTCAAAAAATTTGTGATATAAAATAAAAAACTTTACTTATTAGCTTTACAAAATTACAATTTCAACTCATTTGTATGAATCTTCACAGAGAAACGAATTAACCTTTGTGCAGCAACCTTCAATTCATCTCACCTATTGGTTGTGCTAAACTTAAGGCATACATTGGCTAAATATTATTTTTATGAAACTAATGTGTGTGTGTATATATATATATATACCGTAAGTCTCTATCTTGTTGTAATTGTACAGCCTATTTAAAGGAAAACATCTGACAAGACATTGAATGTTGTATTCCCAATCATATGAGATGGGTATTTTGCATTTTCAACTCACATTGTGTCTTTATCCTTCTGATAAGATATTGTATTCTAAATTATATCAGATGGTGATTTAACATTTTCCTGAAATAATCCAATTCATAATTTGGATCCAAAAGAGAAAAGAAAGGGAAAGATAGTTAAAGAGCATTTTCACGCACAACTACGCATGCATGAAATTAGAGGTGCTGAGCAAATCAGTCACTGTCTTGAAACAGAGAATGTATAAGAAATCTGATGTTTGCATGTTCTTACAGCCATACCTGTCACATCCACATAGAAACAGAAATGTTGAGATGTTATGCTCAAAAGAAGAAAAAAGAAAGAAGCACTGCCGTGAAAATGCTTCCAGGATTTAACCACCTGTAGCTGAGTCTATAAATAATTTTTGTTTCCCAATAGCTTGAAACAATTAGAAGATTGGTTTTAACGAAAAAATTTGTGTAGAAAACTGACAAAAAAAATCATTGGAAAAACCAGCTACATTATAACATTGATGCAAATGAGATTTATCATCTCTGCTGTCTTGTTTGTGGTGCTCTTTTCTTGTGCAGGTCAAGTTAGAAGTTACTTCATCTGTACTTGGATTTAACTTGTTTATGCTTATTGATATTCATGCTGTTTTATGTTGTGATTGCAGGTGCATATGATCCTTTGGATCCAACTGGAAATGTAACGATAAAATGGGATATTATGTCTTGGACAACAGATGGATATATTGTAAGTATTAGATCAAAAGCAGAAATTATTGCTAAATTTATCATTCCATACCACACATTGCTAAAATTGAGCAGTGATGATGGGTCTGCTGCAATAAACTTCCCAGGCAATTGTAACATTGAACAATTTCCAAGCTTTCCGGCACTTCATGAAACCTGGCTGGACCGTAGGCTGGACATGGGCAAAGAAAGAAATCATATGGTCCATCAATGGTGCTCAAGCGGTTGAACAAGGTGACTGCTCCAAGTTCAAAGCAAACATACCTCATTCCTGCAAGAGAAGCCCTGCAGTCGTGGACTTGCTTCCTGATGCTCCTTTCAACCAGCAATTCAGTAATTGCTGCAAAGGTGGAGTAGTGGCAGCATGGGGCCAAGATCCTTCAGCTGCTGTCTCTCAATTTCAGATTACTGTTGGATTATCCGGTAGGTCAAATAAAACAGTAAAACTTCCAAAGAACTTCACCTTGTTAGGTCCAGGACCCGGGTACACTTGTGGACCTTCAAAGTTGGTGCCTTCCTCCAAGTTTCTCACTCCTGATGGTCGCCGAAAAACTCAGGCCCTGAGTAAGCTTTCCATTTCCTGAATCCTTGTATGCTATTATTCACTGCAGTATCGAAGTCTCTTAAAATGCAGGCAGCTGGCTTCTCACCTCGATTCTTGTTTTCATGCAGTGACTTGGAATGTGACCTGCACGTACTCGCAGTTTATGGCAAGAAAAAACCCAAGTTGTTGTGTCTCTCTCTCATCTTTCTACAATCAGATACTCACTCCCTGCCCAGCTTGTGCGTGCGGTTGCCAGAACAACGACACTTGTGTCAAGTAAGCCCCATGTGCACCTCAAGGCTTTCTATGTATTCCCAGATCACTGTTTTTTACAGGAGAAATTAAGTCATGTAATGAATTGTGTTGACGCAGTGGGGATTCCAGAATTCTTCAATTGCCAGTAGGAAACACAACCAGAAGAGATAATAGCTCTCTGCTACAATGCACACGCCATATGTGCCCGGTTCGAGTGCACTGGCATGTGAAGGTGAATTACAAGGAGTACTGGCGTGCCAAGATATCGATCACAAATTTCAACTACAGGAAGAACTACTCGACTTGGACCCTCGTGGTGCAGCATCCGAATCTCAACAATGTAACACAAGTTTTCAGCTTCGAGTACAAACCTCTCATCGCCTACGACTCAATAAGTGAGCATCAGGAAATCTTACAATTCTATGATGTTGAGATTGCGGCAGACACAGAATTGATTTAACCTTCCTTTTTATCTCATATGCAGATGACACAGGGATGTTCTATGGCATGAAGGACTACAATGACGCATTAATGGAAGCAGGGCCGCTTGGAAATCTTCAATCTGAGGTGCTTCTTCAGAAGGACCAGAACACTTTCACCTTCAAGCAGGGATGGGCATTTCCACGGAAAGTCTACTTCAACGGCGATGAGTGCATGCTGCCCCCGCCAGATACATACCCATTTCTGCCTAATTCTGCTCATGGATCACTAGACTTCTTCTCCATGTTGCTTTCTACACTGATTTTCCTGTTCATGTATATCTGGTAATTTCTGAATTTTGAAGCAGTTTGAAGTAATAGAGCACGGAAGTTTTGAGCCTAAATATATATTGAGACAGACAACTAGAAAATTTCCTTGTGTCTTGTAAACTGGAGAATATGGTAGTCTATGAGATCATCCACATAATGACAGCTGCCTGTGATTTATGAGACCATGAATTAGCTTCTACGTCTCTGCCATGATGAGCCAACCTTCCGTGCAATTTCACCAAGATTAATATTTAATAAATCCAAGGAATTCTACCAGTTGGTTACAACTACGAAGTAAAATAGCCAAATAACAAATTTATATATATATATATGGCTCTAATTTATGTGCAAATGTTTTTTTATTTTTTTTATTGCTTTTTATTTAGGTTGTAGTGGTACTTAGTCATTGAAATTCTACAAACAAGATGGATTCATAATAGAGGGACTACATACGATACAACAGCTAGAAGTGACAAAATAGCAGTGAATTCATCCACCGATGTCTTAAACACAAAACGTAGTGCACTGAAACAAAATGCACCATCTCGAAGCCATTGAAATGCCGAATATCATCCCATATATACCCATAAACCTTTCAATTCGCTTCCAATATATACTCAGGTCAAGCAGATCCAGTCGGAAAAAAATTGTTAGGCTAACGCATCTTTTAGTGAACCTCTGACAGTCTATGCATATCCATGTAAGAAAGCCAATGCAGAAAAGAAGGCTATCATTAGAATAAGCGGTGAAGGGAGCCGGCGTGAACTGGCATTAGGCAACCACGGATAGGCATCAGGAGGAGGCATGACGCAATTGTCGCCATTGAAATAGATTCTCCGAGGGAAGGCCCAGCCCTTCTCAAAGGTAAAAGTGGTCTTGTCCTTTTGGAAAAGTAGCTCTGACTGAACATTACCAGCACGACCGGCTTGCATAAGCAGGTCATTATAGAACTTAAGTCCATACAACATGGCAGTATCATCTGTCCAAATAGTAAAATATGATGAGAATCCCCATTCTCCATTCCAATGAAAATAAGAAGTAAAAATTTCTGAAGTAAACAAGAGCAACCACAAGGGGACATGTAACTTACTAATAGCCGAATAAGGGGACAATGACTTGTAGTAAAAACTGAAACTCTGGGTCAGATTGTCGAAGTTGGGGTGTTGGACAACTAAGTTCCATTGTGTATAGTTCATGTTATAATTGAAATTTGTAATTGTGACCTTAGCCCGCCAGTACTGCTTGTAGTTAAGCTTGACATGCCAATGAATTCTGATTGGACACATGTGACTCGTGCATTGGATAAGTGGCTTAGGGTTGTTATTACCTGGACTCGAAACAACTGAAGCTAAATGCGGTGCTTTTGGACTGAAAACCAGAAATTCAAATGGTAGTAAATTCAGCATATTCGGCACATACAAAAAGGATGCATGTATATATTCTAGAGACCTAAAGCTAGGAGAAAGAAAAATGATGTTTCCAGTAAGAGAACTTACTCTACACAACCCCCTGAATCAGTACTGTTTGTTTGGCAGCCACAGGAGCATTTTGGACAAGGAACTATTGTGTTGTTGTAGAAAGATGACAGGGAGACACAGCAAGTAGGAGTCTTCTGAGCCAGAAATTGTGAATATGTGCATGTAACGTTCCATGTCACTGCAATGAAAAAGTTGAGAAGTTCTTTAGGCTATTGCCATTGATGCCGGTTTCAATCAATTAATAAGGCAAGAACTGCTCTTGAGATTTTCTCCCCTCTTCAAATTAAATTTCAGAATTGGGTCCATCAAATTTATCAGAGATAGCTATGTTCTAAAGCAAGAAGTTGATTATATAAAATACATGCATAGATGCAGCTCTATACTCTTCTGCATTTTACTTACTCAAAGCTTGAGTGATTCTCCTTTTATCTGTAGACATAAATCTAGTAGGCTTAACAATTTTTGCACGAGCACATGAATAACCAGGTCCTGGTGCCTTCAGAGTGAAGTTTTTAGGTAATCTGACTGTTTTATTACTAGTTCCAGCTGAACCAACGCTAAGCTGGAAGGAACTTGCAGCATTGGCTGGATCTTGTGCCCATGAGCTGATAACTCCCCCTTGCAGCAATTTGCAACCTGCTGGTTGTAAGGAGTTCCTGGCAATAAATCTACAACTGTCGGAGTCTTTTTACAACAATGTGGAACGTTTCCTTTGAATTTTGAACAATCTCCTTGCTCTGTTGTTTGGCCTCCCATCATATTCCATACTACCTCCTTCTTTGCCCATGTCCATTCCAATGACCATCCTGGTGCTTGAATGTGACGATACTGCTGGAAGTTGAAGATCGTGACAACAGCCTATCATGCATGAAGTTGTTAGCAAACCACAGATGTGGAGTCTCAAGAGAAGCTACAAGTTTTATGGATGCTAGCAAACAACAAATTTGAGAAAAAATGCAAAAGAGAAACTACTGAACAGTTCAGTAGATTATGATACCACTTAAGTACACCCTTCTTTAATGAGACAAAAGGCATTAAAATTCAGTGAGGAAAAGATAACCCAAATTATTGAAGAAACAGGGCACCGGAAAACTTCAATCATGCACCCTAAATGAATTATACTAGAATTTGTAACAACTCTAAAAAGTTGGTAAGCTCAAGGAACGCTAATGAACTCAAGTAAAATGCAAATATAATACAGATGATGTAGAAGATTGATTGTATTGCCCAATAAAATTAACCAAGTGCTTCAAGAACTCCCAAGAAAAAATTACTCTTAAGACAAAATTGAAAAACTACTTTAGCAACAAAACATAGTTAATAATCCAAAGCAAAAGACAGCTAATAATCTATGGCAAGGAAAGAAACATAAAGTACATCAGACATAAATACCAAATTTACTGTACATTGTTCTACTACGAGAATCAAAATTGTCTATTATGCTATTTGGCTTTTATCCATGTTCAAGTTTAAGCTTCCTATCATTAGTTGATTATATACAGTGATTAGTACTTACGACATAGCCATCAGGAGTCCAACTTATGATGTCCCATTTGATTGTAATATTCCCAGTTGGGTCAAGAGGATCGTAGGCTTCTGCAAAATTGATAAACAGCAACTTGCTTTAGAAAGACAATGGCCTAAAAGTATTAAAAAAAATAGAAATTTAAACTGATAAGCAGAAGAGCTAAGAGCTCAAAAATCAAACATATTGGCCAACAATTAAAATGGCAATGACACTAAAATCTAACAGAAACTTTAAAACAAAAATTAAAAAAATAAAAATAAAAATAAAAGAAAAGAAAATAGGAAAAGAAGACCACATGTAGCACCGATTATGGTATTAGTAGTTAAAAATTAAGAGTCCAATTTTCTCTTTCTAATTGTATTTTCCCAGTTACTAATCAAGCTTGAATGATGAAACCACAATCCGAAATGGCTTACATTAGGCACAACCCATAGTAGAAAGCTATAAATTGAAATATAAAAAGCTCAGGATTTCAATGAAAATCCATTAACAAAAACAAGTAAAAAAGACACCAAAGAGCATGATTCTTTAAATATTTCACAAAATGAAACCACCCCATTTCCTCATTCATTAAATTCAAGAAAAAAACTTTCCCAAGTATCACTCTAATTTAGAACCAAACCCCAACAATTTCCATTATATAAAACATAATTTTTTAATGAACTACACCCCCACTAACATCACAAAGAGTTCATCTCTGGAAAGACAAAAAACCAAAATAAAGAAAAAAACAGAGAGAGAGAGAGAGAGAGAGAGAGAGAGAGAGAGAGAGGGAGGGAGAGCTTTGCCAACCTGTTGAAGTAAAACTAGTGCACCAAAGCACAAACAGGAGCAGAAGAGTGAAATTTGAGGACAAACTCATTATGGGAGAGACAGGAAAGCCGATTTCTTGACGAGCAGATTATGTTGTGTTTTTTGGTTACTTAATTTTTTGTTAGCTCAAGGCACAATAAAGAGGGTAAAGAACACGGTGATGACTGACTAACTGGCACTTGTTAATGCTGTTGGCTCAGTTTACGGACTAAAAAAGTGGACTTCAAGCCCACTTTAATTTTTCAACAACACGTATTAGTGAAGAAAATGCAACTCCAATTGCTTTCTTTATTAAAAAAGCATTAAATCTTGCGTCTTTTGGGGGTGGATTTGTCTAAAAATTCTATTCAGATACGTAGATTTTACAAGTCTAATTGACCGATTTTAATAGAGGGATGCATGACAGTTGTTTATTGTGATGCTAGAAAGTGATAGGGGGAGTTCAGTTTTTGCACAAAGTTGAATTTAATGGTGAGCACAATTCATGACCCTGGTTTGTCTGTCTTTTTAGCTAAGTGAGAAGGCTTGTCAGCTTAGCAGAACTTTTGCAGAAGTGTCTGACAGTTATGTCTGGTCTCTTCTGGGTCTCCTTCCTCCACTTGTACACTGCCATTACCCTTTGTGACAAAGTTAAGATAATGCCTAACCTAATTGCCATATCGTTCCTAGCCCAGTTAGCAATGTTTGCCACTTAGGTTGTACACAGCTGCTGTTCTCCTAAACTCTCAATTGTTGCCTCTCCTCTGTCTGATTTTGATTAATAGTGTTATTTTACTGTGATGACATATATAAATTTGAACTTATCATTTTTTATAATATAAAATAATAGAAATGTAAAAAATTTAAAAAGTATTTGGAGTATAAAAAATATTATAGGATAGTATTGAGAATTCTAGACTTAAGAGTTTAAAAGATTAAGAGAAAATGAGAGATTGAGTTGTGAGGAGAATGAAAAAATTAAGAGTGTATTTATAGAAAAAAAAAACGATCACAAACATATATATATATATATATATTAAGCCCAAAAATTAAAAATTATTAGGCTTAATTTTTTTTTCCATTTTTTAGTCTAATAACTACTGTTCAGCCCATATAAAATTGGTTTTTTTATTTAAATTTTTTCATTTTTTTCCGACCCAACCCAAATTTATTAGGAAAGATGTGGAACCGTCGGTTCTACGGTTAACCATCGATTTAGAACCATCGATTCCGATTCCATAATACGTTAAACCATAACTAATTCGTAGATAGCCGGTTATGATCCGATTTGATCAAGATTATGATTTTAATAATTTCAATTCGATTTTTTAATGGTTCGATTTCGATTTGGTTTATGATTCGAACCGAACCGTTACCATGTCTACCTGGATAGAATCTAGCTTGATAGGTAAATCGAACCCATGTTAGCAATATTTGGCACTTTTGTTTTGTTTTGTCTTGTTTTGTTTTTTCCTTGTATTCCACATAATGAAAACTCGCTCAAACTATTATGATAAAAATTAGTTTTTGTTTCTTGTTTCATTCCATATCTCAAGCACTTCTATTTCCTCTCTTTTGTTTTTCTTTTTCTTCAATAATTAATTGTTTACACATATTTAAAGTGCTTGAAGTTTCACTTTACTTGGTGAATTAAACCTCGTCCAACTCCACTATGAATTGCAACATCATGATTGTTAAGAGAAGATATTTATGTGATGATAAACAGAGAAAGTGCTTACTTTTTGTTGTTTCGGCAATATATATATATATTAACAAACTTTTGTTTAATTTTTTCATTTTTCAGGCAAGGCCAAGACCTGGACTAAACAATTAACCTGAATGATTGGACCAGGCTGGATGGAGACTAGCAAAGGCCAGGCCTGACTTAGGCTCAGCCCTGAATCCAGCCGATACCAAGCTCTGAAAGGGGAGGATCGGGGGTGATTGATGGCCGAACACTGTCTTGTCTTCTGTGTGATAAGGATCCTTTCCGTGCTCATAATTGAACTTTCGATTACTTTTTTTATGGTTTGAACTTTAAAGTTTCATATCATATAGTCAGCCTACTAATGGTAACTAATCTTTTATATATACGAGGAATTACAAAATTGTATGTATTACGACAAGTAAAAGTAACAGAAAAATAGTGAATTTCGTCCACCAAATACAAATATGTCAGGCACTTACCATTTTGCACTGAAATAACAGCATATATCTTGAAATCATTGAAATATGCTGAATGTCATCCCATCCCATATAGCCATTGATTTTCAATTGGCTTCCAATATATCCTCAAGTCAGGTAGATTCAATGAAAAAACGTGTTACGATTGCCACCTCTGTTAGCGAACCTTGAGAGTCTATGCGAAAAAATTAAGAAAGCCGTCATTAGAATAAGGGAGGAGGTAAATTAAGCTGGCAGAACTGGCATTAGGCAACTATGGGATAGGCATTCGGAGAAGGCATTCTAAAGGAAGGAGTAAAAAATCAACTTGAAATGGAGAGTTAAGGAGGACCAGAGATACCTGCTTATAAATAGCCACACTGTCAAGCTTCTCCCCACTGCTATCATCACTTTCATGGGCGGCCCTTCCTTTAATTTGGCATGTACGCACATTGTTTGAGGAGTTAGAATCGGTGAGCGTGTGGAGGGAAATCTCTGGTGGATCGGCCTCTTTTATTGCCAAATCTTCTAAGGTTGCCTCAGGTTCTTGTTCCAGCTCAATAAAGAAGAGTTTCTTCCATGTATGGGTCGCCGTGTATGGTTTATCATAGTGGAAACAAAAGGCCTTATCGGCACCTTTGCTATAATTCTGTTTGTGTGAAATATTCGATGAAGATGAGGAAACCAAAGAAACGGCTGCCTTATTCCGTACTAGAAGTTCCTTTCTATTGGGTTCATTAGGCCTATGTACCATTGGGCTAGGCCGTGGGTCTTCGGCCTTCCCATACCTACTTATAAACACCATAGCCAGCCCAATTGATTCAATTAAGGTGGGAGGCCGTTGGGCTTGTACATTAGCTTTGATTTGTTCCTTGAGGCCACTAATAAAAGCCCCCAACTCTTATTCATCTGACAATGCCCCTACTCTGACTAACAACCTGTCAAACTGCCCCTCATATTCACGAATGGTACGTGTTTGTTTGTGGTTGCAAAGGTCAGCAAATGAATTTTCAAAATTAGACATACCAAGCCTCTTAATAAGTTCGTCTTTCATTGCTGGTAATGTAAGACCTAGGTGCAAGCTCTTCTGCCATTGTGCCTATAATTGTGCATCCCTTTCTAAATGGAATATTACCAATTGGACCTAGATCATGTTTTAAAAGTCAAAAAATTGTTCTGCTCAACTAATTCAGGTATTAGGATCCTCGCAACATTGTATCGAAGAAAATCTAGTTTAACCAATTTGATAGTGATACCCCCACTTGATCTTTTCCTATTGAAATTCATGCGAATCTAATGAGGTCGAGAGGCAAATGATTCTTCCCTGGCTTAAAATGCTTGGAGCATGTCCGTCATCTTTCTACTCATGCGCTCAATCTGGTGCTCAAGTCGTAGAAAACATTGGTCGATTTGTTCTTCAATCATGCCAGGCTTTAATATCAAACTGTTACGTTCCTAAAAATTCTCACGGCATACACCTTGACCTCATGCTCTTGTCCTGCCACGAGCTATCTTGACAAAGTTAGCAAAAGGAAGATGAGAAGCAGTGTTGAATTATTTTTAATAAAATATATATTTTTATTAAGAATTAAAAAAAAAGGTATAAGTTATTGTTTCAAAACAGTAAAACATTAACTTGTACATTGAATGTTTTTAAAGGCTGCACTTGCAACAGCTTTTCCTTTTCTCTTCAATTCATGAACCAACGTCTTTTTCCTCCAACGTTTCTTCTCCTTACCGCTCAATTCATTTATTTTTTGAATTAATTCAATCACCAACGGATAATTTTTTTCCCTATATAAATGGCTCTTACCATTTGATGAGACACACAACAACAATAGCATTTTTCTTGCTCTGCGGAGAGGGAAAAAAATAACAAACAATTTATTTTTTATTTTGCTTAGAGAAAAAAAGTTTCTTTCAATTTTATTTTATTTTTTTCCCCATTATAAAGTCATATAATGTTTATTTGTTTTAGTTTTTGGACAAAAATGATACTAAATCTTATTTAGAGTTTCAAGTCTTACGAGTAATGCAAACTTGTTAAGACACGACAAGGTGGCTAAACTTGTTGTATCCATGAGATAGTGTGTAATATATTATTTATCCATTGCATCAGATAAATTCTACGGATGATGCGTATCGTCTCAAGAAAGCAACTTGATTGTGCCTCGAGCCGATCACCTAAAAATTATGATAAAACTATTTTGGTGGTTCGACCATCTTTATACCATAAAATATGATAATGTGATTTTAATTATTAATTTATCTAATGATCAAGGTAAAAATTTTCAATTCTTTATTTATTTTAATTGACAATAAATTTATTTATTTATTGTGTCAATTTTTATTATTTAATTATGGCCCTTTTTTGTGTTAGGAACAACAAATAGTTTGTTGAAGCAAACAATATATTCAAAGGGAATTGTTCATATCTTTAGTCAATACCATGGGGTCTTTACATAGCCTTTCTTACAATGGTAACAAGCAACAAAATTGGAGAGCTAATAATCTAATGTTAACAATCAAATGAACTATTCTAAAGGAAGGAAACTAATAATAATGACCTATTCTTGAGGAATCAACAAGTGTCTCGTTGGCAATATTTATTCGACCTATTCTAAAAGGATAAACAGGTAATGGAGTGACTATTGCTTCGGAGAATGCTAGTTTGTAACATAGTCACAACGAGTTTTTAGCTAGAAGTGAAGGTAAACTCGTCAAAAGAGAGGTAGGTGATTTTGCCTAAAGTTAGAGTGAGAGAGAGGAAGAAAATTTGGTTGTTTGGTGGCTAAAAAATAAGGAAAATACTGAAAAGAAAAAGGGAAAGAAAGATGAACAAGTAATCCAACTAGAGGTAAAATGATGCTATTTCACTCTTGGTTTTACTATTTTTTGTATTCACTCGTTATATGAAACGACGTTGTCCAATTAAATAAATTTGTTTCAATCTTTCAATTTCTCCACGTTTTTTACTTCAATCTTTGGCCTTTTGTTTTTTCTTTTATTTTTATTTGTTTATTTCGACCCTTTATCTTTTTAATTTCTCTTAGTTGTATCCCCACTTAACAATTTTCTTTCTTTTTTTATTCTCCTCAATCCTCATTCTTTTTGTTTTCTTTTGATCTTGTCATTGCATTTTTTTTTATCCTCATTCTTGCTATTTTCTTTTAGTTTCATCCCAATCTTCCTTTCTATTGTTTCTTCTTCCCGGTTTTTTTTTTCAATTTCATTTTGGTTTTTTTTTCTTCTAGCTTTCTTTTTTTTTTCTTTCTTTCTTTTTTTCTTTTTTGGCTTTTTTTTTTAAATTAGGAAAAATACCAACATTTTCTAAAAGCATAAAATTTATAAAATAACTAAAAATTATAAATATATTTTTTAAAAAAATTAATATTTTTTGATAAATAATTTTTTATGATAGTTCTAAGATTCAAAAATAATTATGACAACATGACAGTAGGAATTCATCCAATCTAATACATGATAGTTAAACATGTTGTCATGTGCCGATATCATTACCTATTTAGTAAAAAAAAAAAAAAGAAACAAATGGCTTTCATGATTAAAAATACAAGGAAGTTTTGTAATAGAAAAAAAAAACGAAAAAAAGAAAAGAGAATCTTTAATTATTTGTTTGACAAGTAACAATTGATATTTCTTGACATTTTATCATTTTATCGTTAGGTTGGAGGACTTTTTATTGTTTTGGACAATATAAAATTTTTATTCTTCCATAAAAAGTACGAATATCATACTTCTTTGGTGTGATACTTATTTAAAATTTTGGATGCTTACTTCTAGCGTATCTAACATACACACAATCAACACCTGTTTTGACTTAACCCTGCCTGAACTCAATAACTTTTCTTTTCTCTTCTTTTTTCCCTTTTCTATATATCTCATTTCAATTTTTTTCTTATATTGTTATTGCTCATATAATAAAAATTTTAGGATAAATATACCTATTTATCCTTATATAATTCTAAAAATCTTTCGTCGATCCCTAATTTTTCAATTATATTTTATCTATCTTTAAAAAATTTTGAAATGTATAATTTTTCCTTTCGATCAAATTTTTTGACCATGTAATGTTTTTGACCAGATGGCCTTGACTTAAATGAGAAAAAAAAAAAAAAAACACCCTCAAAGTCACATGATTTGCATGTTCTTTTTTTAAGTCTATATGTATATATATACACACTCAAAGTTTCTTATTTATTTTTAAATTTTCGATACAGAAATAGATCATTTGATTTATATAATAGTTTGATTAATGTCTTTGAAATTGTATATATTATTGGTTTTTTTTTTAATTCTTTAATAGATTTTCTTAGTTTTTTTAATCATTTTCTCTAACTGATGTTTTTTATTTATGTGTTTAGGTCATTTACAGATGCTGGAGAGTAGTGGGTTTTGTTAGGATTTCTTAAAATAAATATATAAAAAAAAAGGGGGGGGGGGGGGGGGTTAGATTTTTCTTATTATTATTTTAACAACTTAAATTTTTGGGACATACCCTACTTCACGGCCGCAGCAACTTCTAGGAAGTGATTGTTACAATGTCTCTGGCTAAAGCTGATGCTTCCAGAAAGCCTAATACCAGGGCTGTTAAACAGGGACAACACTTAAGAAAGCAAAGAAGATTCGGACAAAGGTTACATTTCACCGTCCCAGGACATTGAAAAAGGAGAGGACCCCTAAGTATCCACGTATCCGTGCAACACCTAGAAATAAGTTGGACCACTATCAAATTCTGAAGTATCCACTTACCACTACTGAGTCTGCAATGAAAAAGATTGAGGACAACAATACCATAGTATTCATTGTTGATATTCGTGCTGACAAGAAGATAATTAAAGATGCAGTCAAGATGTACGACATTCAGACCAAGAAAGTGAATACTTTGTTCAGGTAAATCTTAGTTACTTGAAACCAAGACATTTTGATGTCTTACATTTATAATAAGGTGGCTATTACTTGTTTAATTCTGATTAATATTAATGCCTATTATAACTGTCCAAAATGGCAAGTTTAGAATTGGCTACCAACCCATAATGTGGCTGGGTATGGTACACTATATTACTCGAATTTTGTAAACAAGTAATCTAATTCTGGGTTGTAAAAAGAAATTTTAGAGACCCCAACCTTTGACCAACGAATCATTTTATAGGTACAGTATTACAAGTTTCATTATTGATATTTTGCCTAGATCTCAACGGTCCTTGTTTTACTGCATAATTTGATCTTCTCTTAAGTGGCACTAACTATATATATTTTAATGCAGGCCTGATGGAACTAAGAAGGCTCATGTCAGGCTGACTCCTGATTATGATGCCTTGGATGTTGCAAACAAGATTGGGATCATATGAACTCCAATGTCATGTTTGTTTTCTTTAATATATTTTTGTTTTCTTTAATATATTTTGAGAACTGTTTTTCTATTACACATTTTGCTTTGTTTGGTATCATTGCTGCTTGAATGTCTTGGGAATGGCCAACTTTATTGTTTTGCAGAGATTTCACGGGACCAGAATATTCAACACAGATCAACAAAAAAAAGGGTTAGATTTTTCTTTTTAACTATCCTCTCCGTTTTTTTTCCGTACTAGAGGTTCATGGTCACGACGAATTTACGGGTCACTTGCCTATCCTTTTTTTTTTTTTTTTTTCATTTCCATTGTTGCCTTTGATGATAGAGAGTCAAGAAGATGCTTGATTATTTTGATGTAAATTTTATAACTATATTTTGGAATTGTTAGACATTTGATTTTTTACTCTTTTTTTTTTTTTTTATGGGTGATGTGACATTGGTGTTGTTGTTATTCTTCCTTGGTTAGTTTCTTCCTTTTTGTTTGTTTTTAGATTCTTTGGATTAGTTTTGCAGTTTTCACCTCATGTTGTTTTCTTTTATTTTTATTACTAAATGGTCAAACTTTAAACTCCAAGTTTGTATTTGATTTTATTTCTCTAATAGATAATTTTTTAATTGTTTCAAAGCATTGTATTGTTTCTTTGCTTTTTACAATGCTATATTCGTTTTTCTTAAACAATGTATTGTTTTCTTTCATTTCAAAGCTTTATTTTTTTTTTCCTTTGATGTTATTTTTTTATTGTGATTGGGATAAATATTATCTTGCTAGATCAACTAATGTAGATTTCAATAATGGATGCGAGTGCTCATCGGTTATGCTTGCCTATCTTCTTTGGTCGCTTGCAAGGATTGTTAGCCTCGCTTTTTGGTTTGGAACTCTTTTAACTATTTTTGTTTATCATCATAGTTTGGATTTTAAAATTTTCTTTTCGCTTCTTAGTACTTTTACATCAACTAGTTATCAAAAGTTTGCTTTTTTGGTATTATTAATTTGCCTTGCCCTTTGCTTTCACAAAAACATTTTAAATAATATGTCTTTGATTTGTTTACAATTCATGACTTCTTCATCAATAGTATTTATTATTTTTATGTGTTCATTTTCCTTTGACAATAGTTGCTCTCATCGCTCATATTTAGCCACAATAATTATTATATTTTGATATTGTTGATATACGTTCTTTTATTTTGATTATCTCTGTGTCTAACGATCTTTCTGTTTTGATTTGTAGCTTTTGGCTCCTTCTCTATTTCTATTCTTGATGTCCGTAACTTTTCTTAATTTATTTTTTTCATTGCTTATTAATGTGTTGTTCTTATTTCTCAAATGCTATTATACTTTGCGACCTTCAAATAGTGACTAGGTTGGTCGTAACTTTCGACTCTTACTTAATTTGTCTTGGTAAGTAACTACGGAGTTCTATTTTTTTTTTTTTTTTTGTCATTATAGAGTTTTTTTATATAATTTTTTTATTTTTGCTTTTATTTTTCTTTAATTTGAAATGAGCATAAGGATTTATTATAGTCCATTAACAATCATCTTTGTTTTGCTTAATCTACTTTTTTTTCTTCTTTTACTTGCATTACTATAAAAAAAAAAAGCAAGCGATCATGATAAATTCAGCTCTTCGCTTCTTATTTTCTTGATGCCTCCTTAACAAATATTTTGTCTTGATATTTAGAGTTTTGTTCCCTTTAAAGAATTTTGCATTTGTTCTACTTTTTTTCTCCTTTCCAATATCTCTTTTGCTTATTGCTATTGAAAAAAAAATTACACTTGAATTTTTTATAATAACTACCAATTACCAAAACTCTTTGTGGATTAAGTTGATGGCCTTTTGAAAACCTCAAAATAAAAAAGTCATAGAGCTGAAAACAAAAAATCTAGTGCTCGGATCTTTTCTAATAAAATTTTGGTTCAAAGTTTGATAGCTGAAATTCATTTAAGAGTTAAGAGTTGTTTGTGGTACTTAGAGTGATTACTCTATTAGAGAAAAAAGAAGAAGCAAGATTTATGTTTGGCTTTCATTTTTTTTTTAAATTCTATCTTATATGTATCTTAACGAGTTAAATTCTATACTTATTTTGACGATGAACAAATAAGTGTAAAAGAAAATGGAAGAATAGAAACAAGAATTGTCAAAAATTGTTTAGGTCTTCAAATTCCACATAATGCTTTGTGGATTCTTTATGTAAGAAATTTTACTCGATAATATTTTTTGCAGCCTTCTCAACAATTATTTGTTTTTGGATTTGTGGATGATGCTGATAAATTGTTTAAGAACCTTGGCGGTCAATAAGAAATGGTGAGAAAAAGTTATCCATTAATTCAAATCTCTATACTATAAGTCTATGACATAATTGTTCTTATTTTGCCTTATTATAGAAAATCAACATGAATTCTAAAAACAAGATGAAATTGCAAATTCATGTTGAATTAATATTTTCATTTTGTTATGTGGAGATGTGAAAGGATTGGATGGAAGGCAATAAATCAAGTTGATAATTTTTTCTCCTTAATTTCAATGTTTGCACTATAATCAATGTATTAATTTTTTATTAATAATTTGAGTTTGAAAACCTTAGTTTGATTTCATAAAAGTATAAGTGCAACTCTTGCACTTCGATTAAATAACTCATAGTTATTAGTTTTATTACGATAACAATGGTTACTTTTACCTACAAAATGAACTCGAATGCCTTTAGCTACAATCGTTACTGCTTGCTATGAATGTGTTTTCAATATTTTTATCGCATGTAATAATTATTCTTATGCATGTAATGGTTATCCGATCGCAGAGCATAGCGCGAGTATCTACCTAATTTATTCTATAATATTTGCTTCTAGTAGGACATGAGAAAGATCTTTGGTGGGGCTGAATTAAAACTATATATTATATTCACTATGTCTTTGCAACTATATCTAACTTTATTCTTGTAAACTAATAATATTACAAATACATAGTTCACATCTAGCAAGTTTTTAAGCAAAGCTCACTTGAAAATATGATAATATCTAAAGACATTTCTTTCTCTTTTCTAAAGGAGATAATATTTATTTATATACACTAAAACTTGTGGACCTTTTCAACGAGTAAAGTACTATTGCTAAGTCTGTTCACTTACTCGTTCCTTTTTTTCGCTTTTTTTTTTAAAGGATTCGGTTAGTGTGCACTTCTTCCTTTTTGCCTTTTTTTTTCTTTTCCATCAATACCACTTCATGCTAGATTTATTTAAAAAGCCATGTGGTATAATTTGTTTTTTTGAAATTTAAGTATCTAAAAATTAATATGGTAATTTTTAATTTTAGATATTTAAAATTATTTTTATTTTTAGATTTTCATCTATTTTGACACTAAAAACATGCATAAGTTGTACGTTATTGATTTCTAAAATTTTCAAATATCTCAAAATATGTCAAAACATGTGAATGTTTTTTTTCGATTTTTTTAACTATTTGTTAATTGCTTTTTAGTATTTAGGAAAAAAAATTTAAATTAAAATATATGTAAATTTTTATATACTTTTAGAAACCGAGAAATTGCACTTATTGGTTAAAGCTAAAAAAATCTAATAAAATAACATAATTTCAAATAAAAATAATTAAAAAAATCAATTTGAAATTAAATTGAAAATTTTATTCTCAAATATTTAAAAATTAATGAAAAGTTTTAACAATTTATAAAAAAACACTAAAATAAAAAGAGTTTTTACTATTCATAATACTATTCACATATTTACAAATCACTATTCCTTTTATTATTCATAGCATTTTTTTTATAGTTTGGTCCTTAATATATATATATATATATATATATATATATATATATATATATATATATATATATATATATATATATATATATATATATATATATATATATATTTCAATTTCAAACTTCAATTGTATTGTGATTTGATCTTATTTTGTTTTAGTGTCTTTTATTAATTATCCGTATTATTTAAAATTTACTACTTTAATTTGTTATTTTTTTTATAATTCTCATCAAATTAATTTAAAATTTTATTTACTAATAATTTTGATTTATTTCTCTATATATATGGATTTTGGAATAAATTTTTAGAACATGATTATTTTTTCTTTTGAAAAATAGATTTATATAAGTTTTAAATTATAGTGGCATGACTAATATATGTCATTTATCTAAAATATATTTTTAGATTAAAAATGTATTTCAAATAATTTTTTCGATATTTTTAGAAAAAAATCAAATTAGTTAATTAATAATTGAAAGCCAAATGTGAAAAAAAAAAAGAGATAGTTGTTCTGCGCATGAGGCTCGTATTCAAGAACTAGCCATGTATAGTATAAAAATAAAAAATTATTTACAAAGGAGGAAAAAAAGAAAAAGAATTCACGTGTTTTATTTGTTTCTTCTTTATATAACCAAAATTTATCGAAATCAATTTTATAATAATTTTTATTTTAGTATATTAACTTCAAATTTAGTCTATATATTCCTTGAAAGTTAACTTTTTTTTTTTATAGTGTTTTTTGTTTTATGTTGAAAACTCTAAATCCACTTAGTATAGTTGTGATGTATAAAAAAAATATTGAATCATTATTTTTTTTATAAATTAACTATGAAACTACTACTACAATAAGCATTTAATATTTATTTATTTATTTTTGAATATTTTTAAATTAATTTATTTTAAATTAAATAATTAAAATTATGTTTTTGGCTTAACCTCTCAATGATTCAAATTAATATATTTTTATTTTAATATTATTCATTTTTTTGTGAATAAATATATAAAAATTAAATTCACATTTTTTCAAAAATCGATATTCTCATCAAGATTTAAAAAAAAAATTTATTTATTTATTCAATTCTATGTAAGTTTTTATTAATTGTTATTTTAGTTTTTTGACACAATCTTATGAAATTCTAAAGCTTTTTTTAAATTTTTATTTAATTTGTTTTAGTCAATAATCCATGGATTAACAAGAATAAATCTTTTTTCTAACAGAAAAAT